AGCACGCTCCCCTGAGGCAGGCCATTCTTTTGCTTTCCCCTGAGGCTGAGAGAGTGTGACTTGCTTGATGTCCCCTACTTAGTTTCCAAGACTGAGTGGGGATTAGAATCCTGGTCTCCACAATTGCAATCCAATCCACTATTGAGATAATTGGACTGAAATCCTTTTATTAGCACCATTGAATCAATGGGGAACGAATCAGTCAGCGCTTCCATTGACTTGGGGCCGACTGTTAGATTTAGCGTTCAAGATCTTTCAATCCAGCTTGAGTCTGCCTGGAAATGGCAGCCATCTCCCTGCTCTGGGGTGATTTTTTTTTGCAAAATAAATGCACAATTAAAGCAACATGCAGATTGCCCAAAGGGTTTTTTAGCACAGCCTATCACAGCAGTCTGCAAGGGCTGTATTAGAAGGAGATGGCTCTGGTTCTTCACCTGTTGAGCTCCAGAGTGTCAGGGACCCTTTTCTTTCTTAAGGCAAAGGGGTGTCACAACGATTTCTCATTACACCATTCCCCTTTTCGGAGTGTCTGATGAGATCACCTTCCCGTCTTTCACATCTTGCTTCCCAATCTTTTCCCTTTGTTGAGAGGCTTGCTAAATTGGAGAATGTGTGTCAGTGCAAAAAGACAGGAGAGAGGGGCAGGGGGTGGGAAAGGAAGGAAGGATGAAGCCTAATCTAAGCGGACAGAGCTGTCTTTTGCAGTTCTACTTCCAGAAGAAATCTGGAGCAAAGTATTGAAGTTGGGTCTTGGGAGGGTGGGAGGGAACCCTGGCTTTGAAAAAGTGAGGCATAAAGATCTTGCATCAGTGGCCATCTGGGAGAAGCAGAAAGGAAAGGGATCTCAACAAGAATGGCAGGTCGAGTGGGAGCCTTCTTTCTACAACCACCAGATCTATGAGGTTCTCATTTTGAAGCAATTTACTCCATTGGGAAGCCAGAGGAGAGTGGGCAAGAGATCCCTGTCAGATCACAGAATCATCGAGTTGAAAGGGATCCCCAGGGCCATCCACGCCAATCCCCTGCCGTGCAAGAACACACAATCCAAGCTGACTTACTTTACTTATTTAGGTGATCCCTTGTTATCTGAGTAAGATTGTCCTCCAGATTTGGTGTACTGGCGGTGGGTACATAGGTTACTGTGGAGCCCTAATCTTGACCCACATATTCTCACGCAGTGAGGGCATCGATTTCCAGGTGGAAAGCGGTCCCGATCAGGGTTGGCTAGACGAGCTTTCCTCTTGGCACATGTCTCTTTTTCGCCCTCCATTTGTGCCTCTTTAAATTCGAGCAGACCTCCAGCTAGAGTGCTCAAGTGTCAGGGCTTCACAGTTCTTGGTATCTATGGAAAAACATCTTGGATGAGTTTCAGGACCGGGAGATGTTGGTGGAGGAGCCAGACAAGTGGAAGCTTGGGGCCCTGCCACACAGCCCTATATCCCAGAATACCAAGGCATGAAATCCCACATTATCTGAGTATGGACCCTGTTCAAAGCAGATATTGTGGGATTTCCTGCCTTAATATTCTGGAATTTATGGCTGTGTGGAAGGGCCCTCAGGCATTTTTTTGAGATGGGGGGCAACCTCTAAATGAGAGATGGGCCCACAGCCTGACCTCCAGGGCCATTTTGTGGGCCCAAATGCCTTATAGCAGAGGGGGGTATTTTCATCTTATTTTGGACTCACCTTGTGGTTGTTTTAGGATCAAAGGGACTTTTTGAAACAGGAAGTAAACAGAAAAGTATTATTGTATTTCCTCTCTTAAATGAGTCTCAAAGGGGCTTTAAGGGGAGTGAATGACTTCTTGCTTCCTAATGTTACAGTAGGACTTGTTGTTGTTCATTCGTTCAGTTGCTTCTGACTCTTCGTGACCTCCTGGACCAGCCCACGCCAGAGCTCCCTGTCGTCCGTCACCACCCCCAGCTCCTTCAGAGTCAATCCAGTCACTTAAAGGATACCATCCATCCACCTTGCCCTTGGTCGGCCCCTCATCCTTTTTCCTTCCATTTTCCCCAGCATCATTGTCTTCTCCAAGCTTTCCTGTCTTCTCATGATGTGGCCAAAATACTTCATCTTTGCCTCTAATCTCCTTCCCTCCAGTGAGCTGTCGGGCATTATTTCCTAGAGTATGGACTGGTTGGATCTTCTCGCGGTCCAAGGCACTCTCAGAATTTGCCTCCAACATCATACTTCAAAAGCATCTATCTTTCTTTGCTCAGTCTTCCTTATGGTCCAGCTCTCACATCCATAGATTACTACGGGGAATACCATTGCTTTAACTATGTGGATCTTTGTCGCCAGTGTGATGTCTCTACTCTTCACTATTTTATCGAAATTGGTCCTTGCTCTCCTCCCAAGAAGGAAATGTCTTCTGGTTTCCTGGCTGCAGTCTGCGTCTGCAGTAATCTTTGCACCTAGAAATACAAAGTCTCACAGCCTTCACGTTTTCTCCCTCTTTGCCAGTTATCCACCAGTCCGGTTGCCATCATCTTAGTTTTTTTATGTTTAACTACAACCCAGCTTTTGCCCTTTCTTCTTTCACCTGGATAAGAAGGCTCCTCAGCTCCTCCTCGCTTTCGGCCATCGAAGTGGTATCATCTGCATATCTAGGTTGTTAATGTTTCTTCCAGCAATTTTAATTCCAGCCTTGCATTCGTCAAGCCCCGCACATTGCATGATGTGTTCTGCATACAAGTTCAATAGGTTGGGGGAGAGTATACAACCCTGCCGTACGCCTTTCCTAATCTTGAACCAGTCTGTTGTTCCATGGTCAGTTCTTACTGTTGCAACTTGGACCTTATACAGATTCCTCAGGAGACAGACAAGGTGACTTACGTGGACTTAAAACAGTCAGGAAGGCCCCAAATATGGTGAAAACATCCTTTGGAAGAAATTTGGAAGAAAAAATGTTTTTTTATCAGGGGTTGTTAGAATAGATTGAGCAGAATATGTAGCCCTCCAAGTTTTTATCTGGAGCAAATGTGACCCCTTTTATTGAGTTTTAAAATGTAAACACACCTTCTGTGTGTGAATTTTTCAAACAGGTAATCCTGTTGATCTGTTGCAGCAAAGGCACAAACAGTTGCATGGCACAGTTCTTGTGGGTTTTTTCGGGCTATATGGCCATGTTCTAGAAGCATTTCTCCTGACGTTTCGCCTGCATCTATGGCAAGCTTCCTCAGAGGCATGGCACTTAACAGATTTATTCTACCTGTTAAGTATGCCCATTTCCTCAGTTGGAGAAGTCAGCTGTGTGTCCACAAAGCTCGCTTTGTAATAAGCAGTGGCAACCAACATCCCCACAGAGGTTTAGCACCTTGCGTTGTCGTAACTTAAAGTTCAGGCTCTGAAAGGGTCCTTCTTCCTCCTCCTCCATTTCCTGGGTGTTTTTGCCTGTGTGCTTGCGAGTGGGACTGAGTCAGCCTCTCCACCATCTTGCTGTGTGGGTGTGTGAAGGTTGACATGTCTTGTTTCCAAACTGGAACAGTCTCTGCTTGACAGTCGGCTCATCTCACTTCGCCAATGTTTTCACTCACAGAATGTTTCTGGATGTTCACTTCTCCTTCGTTTCGATCCCGGAAATGATATCGCTTTCTGGTTCAAACGGAACGGAATGAGTCGTCCCGATGTACATTTCTCCCGTGACAGTATTATGATGGCAGGCTTATCTGATCTCCCCAAGCACCTTGTGTACCTCGCACTGTCCAATGCAACCTCTCCAGTCAGGCTCTGTGTTGTGGTTTCAGTAACACGAGATGGTTTGTTACTATAGATCCCCACCCATCCTTTCCCCCTTCTCCCATCTAGTGCTCATCCTTCTCTTCTTCAGGCTAAACATGCCCAGCTCCTTAAGCTGCTCCTCAAAAGTCTGGAGAACAAGCCCTATGAGGAGCGGCTTAAGGAGCTGGGCATGTTTAGCCTAAAGAAGAGAAGGATGAGAGGAGATATGATAGCCATGTATAAATATGTGAGAGGAAGCCACAGGGAGGAGGGAGGGAGCTTGTTTTCTGCTTCCATGGAGATTAGGACAAGGAACAATGGCTTCAAACAACAAGGAAGGAGATTCCATCTGAACATGAGGAGGAACTTCCTGACTGTGAGAGCTGTTCAGCAGTGGAACTCTCTGCCCCGGAGTGTAGTGGAGGCTCCTTCTTTGGAAGCTTTTAAACAGAGCCTGGATGGCCATCTGTCAGGGGTGATTTAAATGCAGTATTCCTGCTTCTTGGCAGAATGGGGTTGGACTGGATGGCCCATGAGGTCTCTTCCAACTCTTTGATTCTGTGATTCTATGATTAAATAAATAGTTCTTATCTGGTTGGGAACCTCTCTACATGGAGTGCCTAGTGGTCCCAACACATTCTGGTCATTTTCCAGATAGCACAGAGTGATTCCTCTGTCACAGCTAAACCGGGCTCAGTCTGCATTGGGTTGTTGTAGGTTTTCCAGGCTGTATGGCCATGTTCCAGAAGCATTCTCTCCTGACGTTTCGCCTGCATCTATGGCAGGCATCCTCCAAGGTTGTGAGTTTAACCCGCTGTGCCACCAGGTTGGGTTGGCTTGTTTTAAACCCCTGGTTCCCAATAATGAGACGAATTATATGTCACAGAGGGGAGGAGGAGTCATCAGGATTTTAGAGATGCTTGGGAGCACAGGGTCAAACAGAGGTTGGGAATCACTGTTCTAAAGTTTTGTGGGGACAAAAAGAAAGAAAATTGCTGTTTTCAAGCTATTTCGTGATGGCTTAAATTGTTTTGGGGTAACATCGCCCCCCCCCCCCAGAATGGAGGAAAAGGGAGGTTGGGAGGCTTTGAAAATGATCTCTGATTACAAACTATTTTTTTTCCACCAGGAATCTAGGTATCATTTGAAAGAACCTTTGACAAGCGAAGGGAAAGATGAGAGCCGTGTGGGGAGGCAGCAGCACTTGAGCCAAAGTAAAAGGATTGGGACTGGTTGCTGTCCCTAAATGGCTGACCTCTGGCTTCCTTTTCTCCTTTCAGTACGCTTCCGACCTCGACCAGATCTTGCCATCGCTGGAAAAAGCCGCCCAGTTGCCGCCGGGCCTCTGTGGATCGGAGACGGCCGAAAGCGGTGGCATCTCCATCAAGTCCGAGATCTTGACCCCTTCCCTCCAGCCGACCACCGCAGCACGAACTCCCACTGGGATGAGCTGTACGTATTTCTTCTGTTGGGTACCCTGTAGCACATATATACGTCTAGAAATTCTAGACAAAAGTCAAGCCAAAAATGTGAGACACCTTACCAACAGGTCAGTGTGAGTACTTTTATCAGCACAAAGCAATAGATTAATGTGTTGTTGAAAGCTTTCATGGCCAGAATCACTGGTTGCTGTAAGTTTTCCAGGCTGTATGGCCATGTTCTGGAAGCATTCTCTCCTGACGTTTCACCTGCATCTATGGCAAGCATCCTCAGAGGTAGTGAGGTCTGCTAGAAATTAGGGAAGTGAATTAAATGCTAATCAAGGTAGCCAGTTGCGACATTCACACTTGCCCCAAGCAAACAAGAGTTCTTTCTCCCACCCTGGAAATTATTCCAGAGATATATAAACCACACTTATCTAGTTTCCAACAGACCTCACAACCCCTGAGGATGCCTGCCATAGATGTGGGCGAAACATCGGAGAGAATGCATCTGGACATGGTCATACGGCCCAGAAAACACACAGCAACCCAGCAATAGGTTAGTCTAGGGATGTCAAACCCATTTTCATGGAGGGCCACCTCAGCCTTATGGTTGCTCTCAAAGAGCCATTGAATCCATGGATGGCAAATTCCTGAATACAGAGGGCCAACTATCCTTTTTTTTCCATTGTAGTCGGTACTCTTTAGTTTTTATGTTATTGAACAAAAACTCCCATCATTTGATTATCTGCCATGCGGATTATGGACAATGGGAATTGCAACACAACAGGTTGGGGAAAAGTTAAAGGCCATTTGACAGTCAGACATCATGCCCACAAACCTTGGGTCTAAATCCAAACCCCACTCTCCTGACTAAATAGAATAAACTGCAGTGCTCCAGATCTTCCTGTATTACAACTCTCATCAGCTTTGGTCATGAGGAATACAGAAATTGTAGTCCAGCAATCTAAATATAAATAATATATTTAAAGTTTTATTAGTATCTGAAGGGCCAAATAACATATAATAATAATAATAATAATAATAATAATAATAATAATAATAATAATAATAATGTATTGTCGAAGGCTTTCATGGCCAGAATCACTGGGTTGTTGTAGGTTTTTTCGGGCTATATGCTCATGTTCTAGAGGCATTTTCTCCTGATATTCGCCTGCATCTATGGCAAGCATCCTCAGAGGTGGTGAGGTCTGTTGGAAGTAGGAAAAATGGGTTTATATTGTCGAAAGCTTTCATGGCCGGAATCACTCAGTTCTTGTGGGTTTTTTCGGGCTATATGGCCATGTTCTAGAGGCATTTCTCCTGACGTTTCGCCTGCATCTATGGCAAGCTTCCTCAGAGGAGACCTCACCTCTGAGGAAGCTTGCCATAGATGCAGGCGAAACGTCAGGAGAAATGCCTCTAGAACATGGCCATATAGCCCGAAAAAACCCACAAGAACTGAATGGGTTTATATATCTGTGGAATGACCAGGGTGAGACAAAGGACTTTTGTCTGCTGGGGCTAGGTGTGAATGTTTCAGCTGATCACCTTGATTAGCATTCAATGGCTTGGAAGTGCCCGGGGGAAATCCCTTGTTGAGAGTGATTTTATGTGCCTGTTTGTTTCCCCTCTGTTGTTTTGCTGTTATGATTTTTGAGTCCTTTAATACTGTTAGCCAGATTTTGTTCATTTTCATGGTTTCTTCCTTTCTGTTGAAATTGTCCACATGCTTGTGGATTTCAATGGCTTCTCTGTGTAGTCTGACACAGCATATTATTTGAGAACACAGAAGTGCTGGATCACTCTCACAACCACCATGTCAGACTACACAGAGAAGCCATTGAAATCCACAAGCATGTGGACAAATTACAATGCAAAGATACAAAATTACAATTAAATAAACAACATAACATTAAAGTATAAAACATCAAAGCATATAAACAATATACACAGAACATAGGAACCAAATATAATGACAGATAACGGACCGCATGTACATAAAATGATTTAAAAACATGACATGGTGGGCCACATTGGCCCCATGGGACTTGAGTTAGACACATGTGTGTAGGTCAGTCCCAGAGAACCTAAAAGAGACGTTGACCCCTTCTACTCTCTTCACAGTGGCATTTCTTAGTGTTTTCCCTTCTCCACAAAGGGACACTTCACTTATTAACAGGCCATATCAAAATCCATCATTCTGGTCCCCAAGCCTGCCCTCAACTTATATATGAAGTTGACTTATACATGTATATATACAACATACTCTTTATAGTGATGTCTGTCTTCGATAATAATTTGGTATGTCATATTGGTGTCCGAAGGAGGCCAGGTCCTGATGAAGAGGGCGCGGGAGACACAAAACTATGGGAGAAACAACCGTTCAAGAGGGTTGTTGTAGGTTTTTCTGGGCTATATGGCCATGTTCTAGAGGCATTTTCTCCTGACGTTTCACCTGCATCTATGGCAAGCATCCTCAGAGGGAGTGAGGTCTGGGTTGTTGTAGGTTTTTCCGGGCTATATGGCCATGTTCTGGAGGCAATTTTTCTCCTGACGTTTCACCTGCATCTATGGCAAGCATCCTCAGAGGTAATGAGGTCTGTTGGAAGTAGGAAAAATGGGTTTATATATCTGTGGAATGACCAGGGTGAGACAAAGGACTTTTTTCTGCTGGGGCTAGCTGTGAATGTTTCAGCTGATCACCTTGATTAGCATTCAATGGCTTGGAAGTGCCCGGGGGGAATCCCTTGTTGAGAGTGATTTTATGTACCTGTTTGTTTCCCCTCTGTTGTTTTGCTGTTGTGATTTTTGAGTCCTTTAATACTGGTAGCCTACACAGACTACACAGAGAAGCCATTGAAATCCACAAGCATGTGGACAATTTCAACAGAAAGGAAGAAACCATGAAAATGAACAAAATCTGGCTACCAGTATTAAAAAACTCAAAAATTACAACAGCAAAACAACAGAGGGGAAACAAACAGGCACATAAAATCACTCTCAACAAGGGATTCCCCCCGGGCACTTCCAAGCCATTGAATGCTAATCAAGGTGATCAGCTGAAACATTCACATCTAGCCCCAGCAGACAAAAGTCCTTTGTCTCACCCTGGTCATTCCACAGATATATAAACACATTTTTCCTACTTCCAACAGACCTCACTACCTCTGAGGATGCTTGCCATAGATGCAGGCGAAACGTCAGGAGAAAAATTGCCTCTAGACCATGGCCATATAGCCCAGAAAAACCTACAACAACCCAGTGATTCCGGCCATGAAAGCCTTCGACAATATAGTGAGGTCTGTTGGAAGTAGGAAAATGGGTTTATATATCTGGAATGACTAGAGTGGGACAAAGGACTTCGACAGTACATTGAACAGTTCAAGACATTCATAAATACAGAGAAATCTGGGTTAAGAGGGGGAGAGCTCTATTGCATCTTCTGCAAAGATCTTGCCTTTAAACAACCCTGTGGTTCTGGCAGTAGGTGCAGTTGTAATATGGTTGTAGGCATGGGCAAACTTTGGCCCTCCAAGTGTTTTGGCCTTCAAGTCCCACAATTCCAAACAGCCTACCAGTTGTTAAGAGTTGTGGGAGTTGAGGTCCAAAACACCTGGAGGGCCCAAGTTTGCCCATGCATGGGTAAGAAAATGCTTCTTGCCACCTGTCTGGATAGCAGATCCCGGTCCTCATGCGCGGTGAGAGCGCTCAACCCATTTTTGGCACGGCTACGGCTGCACAATATCCGTCCTGTCAGCACTTTGCTGAATTCCCAGCCCTTAATCTCTTAAACCTATTATTAGCTTGCCAAAGATCCTCTCCTCCTGAAGACTCTGGTGCTGGAGTGGCAACTGTGGGCTGGACGTCCGCCCAAGATTCAGGGCGGACAAAAGGGAGGACTCCTTCACGCAGTGCAGGATTAATTGGCAGAATTTGCCACCCCGAGGTCCTGCCACGGCCACCAGCGTGGAGGCTTAAAAAGAGGATTATTATAGGAATTCCCAGAGGGCAGGGATGCCAGTTTTCAGAGAAAAAGAGGTAGATCCAACTTAGGGCTGTTCTTTACAAGGCTGGGAAATTTACTTTTTGGATGCCAGCTCCTAAAATACTACAAGGGTGTATCCATTAATTCCAGTTCAGAATTGTTGTCCATAAGTAACTTTTCCAGGCCCTGATTAGCCATCATGGCCAAATGGACCCACACTATTCTAAGGCAGCATATCTTAGATCCAGGGAAGTCATGCTACCCTTTCTCTATTCTGCTTTAGTTAGACCACATCTGGAAGACTGTGTATAATTCTGAGCACCACAATTGAAAGGAGATGTTGACAAGCTGGAATGTGTCCAGAGGAGGGCGACTCAAATGACCAAGGGTCTGGAGAACAAGCCCTATGAGGAGAGGCTTAAAGGACTGGGCATGTTTAGCCTGCAGAAGAGAAGACTGAGGAGACATGATAGCCATGTATAAATATGTAAGAAGAAGTCACAGGGAGGGGGGAGCAAGCTTGTTTTCTGCTTCCCTGGAGACTAGGGCGCAGAAGAATGGTTTCAAACTACAAGAAAGGATATTCCATCTGAACATGAGGAAGAACATTCTGACTGTGAGAGCTGTTCAGCAGTAGAAGGAGTGTGGTGGAGACTCCTTCTACGGAGGCTTTTAAACAGAGGCTGGATGGCCATCTGTCAGGGGTGCTTTGAACCCGATTTTCCTGCTTCTTGGCAGAATGGGGTTGGACTGGATGGCCCACAAGGTCTCTTCCAACTCTCTGATTCTATCTCTAGTAAACAGTCTCCTGTGTGCCTTTTATCTCTCCAACCACTATTTCTCTCTGGATCATTATGCATCCCATAAGAAAAGCAGTTGGTTAATTCATCAGTGTTCATAGATTCTGCTTGAAGCTTGACTTCCAGGATCTCTGTCTTCCAGTCATAATGGGCCTGATCCATCAAGGTTTCTTTTATGTTCTTAAGATACATTTGGGACAAAACGGGCTGTGGCTCCACCTGCCTATCACCCAATGTCTTGGT